AACCAAAACAAAACAAACAAACAAAATTGTATACAACTAGAAAGCAATTAAATTAAATTCAGTTCAATAAACGTCTAAATTAAAAAGAAATATTAAGATTTTATTTCACCAACAATAGTGGTACAACCAGTTTTTTTAATCTAAAAACTAAAATATTGAACAGATTTAAAAAAAGAAAATCTATGTAACGAAACTGAAAGTATTTCTTTTCAAATAAAAAAAGGTTTCATATCAGTTTATATATAATATATATATAATGGAGTTATGAGGTAACAAACTTAAAAAAGTAAAAACCGAATTGTAAATCTCCTCCTTCCCTTTTGTAATATTATACCATAAGTATAAGTAAACATTATCAGTTTGTAAGTCTTATAAAAAGGTAAAATATGTCCAAGTATTCCGATATGGAGTTCAATTCGTGTAGACATCAGCGTAGGTGCTCGCCCAACGCGTTTGAATGTAAATTTGCACTGTCCATAGTACTGTTAAGTCTCGTACATTTCGTGTCTTACTGGCATATTGATGGACGAGTAGGTATTTATTCTATTGTTTTAGGCCTTAGGGCTACTAACGAGAATAGGTATATTGGGTAGAATATATGAGAGAGATATATTTCAATGTTTTGTTGCAACCCTTTGGGTCAGGGGGGAAAGGGATTGTTAGTAATGGAGACTAAGAATCCCATTGCTAGCAATATACTCAACCAGGTCGACCTCCTCGCGGTTCCCCCTGGAAATTATCATGATTAATTCCTGATGAATTCGTCATGATAGGCTAACTGGCCTGTTTTCATCCTCATCGATCACCCGTCGCTGATGTCCCGCCAGCGTATCCCGTTAGCGCAGGCGGGGTTACCATTCCATTTTCATCCAATAAAAAAAACCCTTTGGGTCATGTAATGTCTCCCTCAATGTTTTATGTAATGTCTCTATACAGACACAGTTATATTTCCAAAGATCTAACTTAAAAACTTGTGTATGTTTTATCTTACTATGCTAACTAGAAGAGGTCTCTCCATTGATTTCATTGGTTTTCCTTCTCCTGAAATCTGCATGTACGACGTAGCGAGCAAAAGATAGTAATAAAAATGTACATTGTAAAGACACGTATTTATATATATATATATATATATATATATATTTTATAATTTTTATGCTATTTAGAAAAATAATAATTGAATGAGGTTAGAAAGTTGTAACTGTCGCCTATAAACATAAATAGCATTAAGAATATCGCACTGAGATGCATTTTAAGGTATTCCTCATTCTTCATTTCTAAGTACTAAGATATTATCTATCTATACCCTGCAATTTTTTTTTATTGGTGAAAATGGAATGGTAACCCCGCCTGCGCTAACAGAATACGCTGGCGGAGCACCAGTGAAGGGTGATCGATGAAAATGAAAACCATGATAGTTTCCAGGAGGAACCACGAGGAGGTCGACCTGGTTGGGTATATTGCTAGAATTGGGATTCTCAGTCTCAATTACTAACAATCCCTTTGTCCCCATACCCTGCAATTTCACTGCCACCCTTTGAACCGAAACGTAGCCATATAAGCGAAGCTTCTTGAAAATACACTAGTTTGACAGAAGTAAAAGGGGGAAAGCGATTGTTAGTAATGGGGTCTAATGAACCCATTGCTAGCAATACACCCTATCAGGTCGACCTCCACGCGAGGTCCCCTGGAAACTATCGTGCTTAATTCTAGTGGAATTCGCCACGATGGGCTAACTGGCCTGTTTTCATCGTCACCTGTCATCTCTCACTGGTGCCCCGCCAATGTATACCGATAGCGCCGGCGGGGTTACCATTTCATTATCACCCAATAAAAAAAAAAGACAGAAGTAAAAAACAGACTTTTGTACAATCTCCTTTCGCATTAGAAGGGATTTAAAGAGTAATAATAGTAATATTATCATTGTTACTCTTTATCTCAGTAGTCAACTACTGTAGTTGTTAAAGAAACATTCGACTGAATATTAGCTGGATTTCAATTATGAGAGCATACTTAAATCAATTGTTTGTTACTTAATAATAGGTTAACGGCTCTACCGTATGAAATTTGGCATGCGAAATATGTAATTATATAAATGTATGATGACCTCTTACTATTTACATATCTATTTGTTGCCATTACAATTCTTCTATTGGTTTTATATTTCTTTTTTTTTCTTTATACTATTATTATTTTACATAATATATGTATATACCTTTGCTTTTGTTTTATTGAATTTGTGATACGTTTTAAAACAACTGTAACAAAAAAGGAAGCAACTGGCTTGTAAAGTACATGTCATAGATAGAAGATAAGACTCAGAATTTATTTACTACATCTATGTTGGAAATTAATAGCAGTTCTGCTTGCATGGCTGTGTTTCGAAGAATGATATGAAGAGTGTTATAAAGAGTGGGATATGGCAGTGAATTTACAGGGTACAGAGAGTTCTCAGGAATGGCAACTCATGGAGGGTATCATGAGCGAAACAGTATAGTCTGTTATGTCCATGGTACTTATGTCTACAGGCGGCGGTTACCACTTTCCATTAGATGGACCATCAGCTTGTTTGCCATTCTAAGTTGCATAAAAAAAATAAGTTTATTATTATTATTTACTTTTTAATCCGCTAATTTGGCAGTTTTCACAGACAATATTTTTAATTATAAATATTTTTCTAGGTAACTTAGGTATTTTATTACAGTTGACAATAATATTATAAATATAAAAATGAATTTGTTTGTTTGTCTTGGCGCCTACTTTATATACTAATAAGTAAACGTAAAAGTTTATGTTATTTGAATGTTTGTCTTTACAAAGTGAGAACACTTGTATCAACTCTACGGTTTTATTTTATCGTGAGTAGGAATTTTATGAGCCGACCGGTTTTTCCGTGCTATGGCATCACCAGAAACCCTTTGAGACTAATATTTATTTTATAAATATGATTTTTAAATTCCACCAAATAATTTTTTTTTTATTATTATTTGCCTCCAATATTTTACGTTACTGAATACCGTTGTGTGTTTATTAATTTACATATAAAAAGTTGATTAATTCATTCAAATTTGGATGTTTTTTTTTATGTGTGAAAATGGCATGGTTACCCTGCCTGCGCTATCGGTATACATTAGCGATGATAAGTGAGGATGAAAAGGCAGGTCAGTTAGCCCATTGTGACGAATTCAATGGTAAATTGGTCACGATAGTTTTCAGGGGGAACCGAGTGGAGGTCGACCGGATAGGGTATATTGATAGCAATGGGGACTAAACTCCTCATTACTAACAATCCCTTCCTTCCTATAAATTTGGATGTTTGGCATGCAGATAGAACTACTAGTACAAAACAAGTTCTGAATTAAGAAATAGGATGCTACAGTTTTACACCCTTATTTATATAAACGTCAAACTCCTCATAAACCTATTTTAGGTATTGAAAGTAATTTGTCCTTTCCTTTTGCGCTAATTTCTCAATTTGAAAGACAGTTGTTATGAAGCAGGGTAAAACATAGTTGATGTTTGAATTAACTTGTAGATAGTGCTGACCTGACCTTTAATGTTAGGAACGGTCAATATATATTAGAAAGATACCTTAATTAGTATTTACAATTACAATATTAGTTAAATACACGGATGCATTTATGGACAGGACATCATACAGTGACAAATACAGATAATGACTACTTAGTAATGAAAATTAGATGAGATAGACAAATACAAATATACAAACGGGAATATTAAACAATATAATAATTCCGATGGAAACTTGAGTGTCTTAGGTCACGTACGTTTATTAATATGTGGCGTATATGTAACACAGTGACAAAACACTGTAATAGTTAAAATAGATTTGTAGGACTTTTTAGTTTTTATGGCAAAGAGGTGTAGAACCTAATTAAAGAAAACTTTGTCAAAAGCTTCTGTTAGTACATCATAGTCAGTACATGATAGAAAATTTATTTGTGTAATATTTCGATTTTTTTTTTTATGTAACTTAGAATAGCAAACAAAGTGACGGCCTGCCTGACGGAAAGTAGTAACAGTTACCTTTAGAGTCATGTCTATAAACGGCGGTTAGATGGTAGAGTACCACAAGCATGTCAAAGACAGCCCACTCATGCTCGTTTAACAAAAATCTCCTTTGAACGTTTTCACTATAGCTAGTTCATCCTTTTTGTTCCCTTAGCCAATAGGAAAAGACTCTTTGCTTGGAAGTCGTTAAGTTTTACAACTTTAAATTTTCGCTACAGTCGACCACATGTTGTCAGTTGCAAATTGCATAAACTGCGCTTGAATTTAGATCTTTTGATTGTTTCTTCGTAAGGATCTATGATTGAGTAACAGCAGGTAGTTTGCTCTTAAATGCACTTTTAATATTGCCAGATATTTTATTCCTTTATTTTAGAGAGTAAACTGATCGTTTTAAGACATGTCAACAAAGTACTATTTATAAAAAAGTCTATTAACACCATATGGCAAAAAAGAATCGGGTTCCCAATTTTGTGTTTTTTACTTTACTTATCGATATAAGTATACCTAATAAATATTTTAATATTAAAAAGGAAGATTTTAAAATATGGAAGTGAGGCGTATAAATTATTATTTCTGAAACCGTTGAACTCTTTAATAGAGCCGGTCTCTATGTTTACCATTGATGCAGAGCTCTCTGCCTATCTATGTATATTTTATGTTTTGCTTAGATTTTATTTACACCTAATATTAAATGTTTATAAATACAAGTAACGATCGATTATCGTAGACTTAATAAAATACTTTTCATTACAAGTCGTTAAAGGTATGTCAATTGCACCAACCGTTAGCCCAAACATTTCAAACAAGTTTCACGTTATGGTAAACACCATTGGGAATAGATACTTAGAGCAGGTATCGTGATGTAACCGGCATGAGTGAGAGGCGTCCTAACCCACCTGAATGGGCACGAGATGCGGCATGCGTCCCTAACTAATACTGCTATTATACGCTCTAAACTATAAACAACATACCGGTATAGAAAAACTGCAGCAGGTAGAATCACTTTCTAACAATAGGGCGATCACTAAACACAGGTGACAGGGCTCAAAACACTTCCGTGGTACACTTTAATATAGCTGAAGTAAATGAGGACGCTACCACGAAATGTTTGTGGTTTTTGACGCGAAAAGTTGATGGAACGTGTAGAAGTACGCACGTGATGGCAAGTCAACGCGGCGCGCGGCACTGGCCCGCTTTGCTCGAAGTGCCGCGACCGGTCTGAGATTTCTCCCCGTAAACATCGAAAGCGAGCCTTCGAACCTTTCTTCGGCTCGTGGCGAAACGTGGTGTGAATACCATTACTATTGAAACTCGATTCGGCCGCACACCGATAGATCCCGACGTCGCCTGCGATGTTTTTGTACGTACAACTCATTTGAAATTTCATCTTTACCATTGCTACCACGAACAGGCTGTGGAATGAGCTATTGAGGTTTTTCCTAGAGAATAAATTATGGGGGGTGGGGGGGTATTCAAAAACTGTGTATTAAGGTTTCTTTAGTTTCGGCAACGAGCACGTAACATCCCTAGTACGGTATATGCCCATAAACTATAGTGATTGTTTACCATTAGACGGGCTGTATGCTTTTTTACCACTTTCGAGGTAAAAAATATATATCACAAAATAATAATACCGTGCTAGTAAAAAAATATTCCTCATACATTACACAGGTAGTAACAAATCGTCATGGTTAGATTCCTAAGTTCTCACATCAAAAACAGAAGAGAGAGACCTCATATACCTGTACAATATAATGGTGGAATTTATAATTGCAATAATTAAAAGTCCCATAAGTCTTGCTAATATTATAAATGTGAAAGTGAGTTTATTTGTTACCGATTTGCATCTTAACAAATTACAATGTTTCGTATACATGTACAGAGAATATAGAATGGAGAAAGACATAGAATGGAGAAGGCTATTTTTAGCTCAATTAGTGAACATATCCCGGTTATCTATATCTGTGTAGGAACTACTGTTTAATATTTTTGAGAGAAATCGTTGGTTATTCTTTTTTCTAATAAAATGTACACGTGGCCTATAATGATTAAACAATATTTGCATCACTTATATTACATAGAAACCTATAAAGCAGGCTGCATAAAGAAAACACCGTAAGAGACTCATAAACTTATTTAAAATATTTACACTGTAAAGTGGTAATAAAATCGACAATTCTAATTTTAAATTTTATTATTTCTCAGTGGTTAGACACTTGTTCTTAGGATTAGACCTTAGATTATAGGTTAGACATAGACAAAACGATAATACAAAATAAACTGTTAATAACTTTAATAACATAGATTCACTATCGAGTTAGTGGCATATGTTAGGGGCCACAGAGGCTTTCATTTGACTCATAATAAACTCCGATGATGTAGTTCAGTCAGGATGTGCCGACGAACTCGGTCAAGGCGCTCGATCAAGGTAATGGAGCCATGTAGGTACATGCGGACAAACCCATGTTTTGGGTCCAGGTAGATTTAACCTCCAATTTATTTTGGAGATGTACCTAATTAATAATTTTGATTAGGTGTTCCTTTTCTGTTTATTGTAGAATGTCATACTTTGTATTTCTTTTAATAGGTGATAATGGAATGGTAACCCCACCCGCGCCATTGGTATACACCGGCAGGGCACTAGTGAGGCAAGCTCCACGTGGTCCCCCCTGGGAACCATCGTGCTGAATTCAGGTGTATTCATCACGGTGGGCTAACCTGTCTTTTCATTCATACCTATCATCTCTCACTGGTGCCCCGCCAGCGTATACCGTTAACGCAGACGAGGTTTCCATTTCATTATATAATAAGGACAAATGACGGAAGGTCATATTTTAAAAATATAAAAAGCCTTGAATGAAATATCTTACCAGTGTAGTAACGAATTTCACTTTTGTAATAAGTATTTAGAGGCAGGTATGAGTCACTAAACTTGAACGAACAGTGACGATATAATGACGAAAGAATCTAAAACGGAAATGTCCGGGAGCTGGTACCGAATACTAAAATAAACCGCAATTTTAAATAATCATCTATCAAGGGTGACGAATGATCCTTGGCACATTATTTCGTCCGTCAAAATAAAATATATAGATAATTACAAACCGCCTATCTATAAGTATGCTGCAATCCACGGTTTAGAAGGAATTTTGTCCACAGATACATTGAGGTCGATTTTGAGGTGGCATTTCTCTACATTTATCTCTTAACCTAATATTTTAATTTGATAATTTCCTAAAATTGCCACTTTATGGACCATTATAAACTAAAATCATAATTATTTTGATACACCTAAATCTATTTAAAATTCTAAATCTTATAGGAAATTGCTTCATACCAAAGGACCAATTCTTACGATAAACATTATACTGTGATATCAAATTGAAATATTAATTTTAAACAAATATTGACACGGTATCGACCCTAACATCTCAAAAAAGCAGGCCTAAGAACCCTGTTAGGCTTGCCTAAGATAAGAATAAGCTTATCATAGCTATATAAACCTTAGTATAAGCATCCGATTGTCACAGGTAACACGACCTGCATTATTGGTAACGATGAAATATAATAAAAATTCTAATTGATAATAGTACATTACTGCAGCGGCCGGCAAGAGAGGCATTGATGGACGAACGTGTGAATGTGGGCCGAGGGGAACCCGAGGCACACATACGTGAGTCCATCAATGCCTAGTTGCGGCCAAGGCTTGTTTTTACTTTTCTCAAATAATGCGCAGAAATTATTCAAATTCACATTATGTTTCATAAAAATTGTGCATTTTAGCATTGAATAGATGATCCAAAGCGTTGTAAGCTTCATTTTCTTGGCGAGTTCGCCGAAATAAGCCAGAAAAACATTTTCGGATAAGGATTTCGATTTTCTTTCATTCTTCCATTGAACAAAATTTTCATAGATTTTCAAATATTTTTCTTTAGATTTTGGCGGCAACAAGTTTTCTACTACGGCTCTTGCTGCCTCTTGAATTTCAGGTGGCGTTAAAATAATTTCATTACACTCATTGTCTTCACTCGAACTCATTTTGTCAAATACAAAAGTATTTGAAACCAATGACGAAGTTGACGAACAACTAATAACAATAGTTTTTTACGCGCCAAAGTATTTTTTTTTTTTCACTAAACAGCTTTCTATGTGCAAGCCAGTTCGAAATTTAAATTAAAACTTTGATAAGTTACCTCTTTGATCGCCATGTTGCGGAGTAGAAGATGGTTCCATTTTTAAATTACACGACAAATATGATTTTACATAGTAATTTATTTGGCCGCTAAACACGACAGATATGGATTTTCATACAATTATTGCCGGCCGCTGCTCGACCAGTACCGCAAGTTAGATTTATCTCGAAGAAGGTTGTCAAAATAATGCTCAAATTTCCAAGCATGTTTGAGAAAAAATAATAACGTACACAAATCCAACGAGTACCTATGAAATAATATTATACGTTCTATATCAAACTATGAATAATCATTAATTCACTACAAACAACTTAATATTTTATATTAGATATAATTGTTTACGATATCCTCAATATTATTGTAAACAATTATAATACAGAGTACTAAGTACAGAAGAGTAGAGAGTATTAAGTACAGATATCTGTACAACATACACATGAAAACATAGTGGAAATAAATACCTATGTTTATTAAAATCAATAAAAAAAGAAGTAGATTTTAAGGACGGGCTAATGGTTTTTCAGGTCAAATAATCTCTTCTTTTTGGTATGTATAACAGTATAAATATATCTATTACGTGTGTAATATAATAAAATTATAAATAGACTATGTTTGTATACAGGAAAATTTATGAGAAATGTATAATAAGAGCGATAGAAGTGACATTAATAACTTTAGACAGTTCGTTGATTTTAACACGCGTTTTGGAAATGGTTATTTTAAAAATTCACGCATACGAAAACGCGGCCAAAAGTCAATAGCGCAATATATATGCATCTATGTTACGTACATAAATTATTGACCGTTCCATTGACAGTAGTCAACAATGGCAAATTAGCATTTTTGTTTTAGAAATTCTTCAGCACGAGACAATCATCGGAAATCTCATAGAAATACCATTACAAACTACAGCTTGCATCACGTGTGATATTTATAAACGTTCTCAACAATTCGGTTAAGTTCAACACGAGAAAATAAGGGGGGGGGGGATTGTTAGTAATGGAGACTAAGCGCCCCTTTGCTAGCAATATATTGTTAGCAAAGGATGTCGACCTGACAGGGTATACCCTGTCAGGTCAACATCCACGTGATCGCCCTGCAAACTATCATGCTGAATTCCAGGCCTTTTCATCACGATAGGTATACTGACCTGCGTTTTCATCGTCACCTATTATCCCTCACTGGTGGCCCGCTCGATTCCATTATCATCCATTAAAAAACCATTCCATTTTCGTCCTTTAAAAAAAACACGAGCAAATTAAAGAAAGAAAATAAATATCTATGTTGTTTAGCTGTAAACTGACTTTGGACGGACACATTTATGTTCCGTTCACTCGTTGAGTAAAAAGTGTTTACTAAAATAAGAACATAAATAACAATATTTTCCTTTACTGCAGGCGTACACGGTAGGAATATTATCTATGCAAATATATTTCGAATTTCTAATGTTTTACTTCCATCATAGAAAGATTCCTAATATAAATAACTCTTTGGCCTATGAATACACGAATATAAATAACCTGCGACTTATTTTATAAAAAAAAATAAAAACAATACCTAATACATTTTTAAAAATATTTGAAAATTCGTGATTTAACTGTATATAAAAAAATCAAGAAAGTAGTAATCCAGTTTGAATTTTCAACAACTTATTTCGGTATATTTTATATTACATTTATATGCATACAGTTCGTTTACGGCAGATCCACTGAACAATATGACGGTCTCAATATGGAAACACGTCTTACTTGAAAAGGTGTTACTGTTATGATCGTAAAATATCTGCTGCGATCTTTTTTGTTGAAAATGGACTTTAACATGTTTTTCTAACAAAATTTGGATATAGCTTCACTCTTTTGTGACTTCTTAATAATAATTATTCTCTGGTCGTTGTAATATGGTACGTGTTACAAGTCACTAAATTCAAAGAATTAAAAAATAATAAACGTAACTTAGGGATTCTCTTTTCATTAAGGAGTTTTCTCTTGTCGGTGCAACTAATTCATGTAATACAGCCAGCTTTATTCTATGCCATGTCTTATACGACATGAACCTAGTGTTGGGGGGAGAAGGGATTGTTAGTAATGGGGATTAGTAGTCCCATTGCTAATAAAAAACTGTATCAGGTCGACCTCCTCGTGATTACCCCTAGAAATCATCGCGACTGATTTGTTGTTGAATTTTTAGAGATGGGCTAACTGACCTACTTCGTCCTCACCTATCATCCCTCACTGGTGTCACGCCAGTGTAATATAATGATAAAAAAGACACCTTTGTTTCTTAAGGAAACTTAGGGATTCAATAAAAAAAATATATTAATAATGTTATATATAATAAAATATTATATATAATAAAATATTATATATAATAAAATATTATATACAATAAATATTTTATACAATAAAAACGATTTTTTTTTAATAGTCTCGGGTCTGGGAGTTTCGGGTTGTGCTGCCAGATGTTTCTTGCTTGGTGCCTCAGGAAATCCTAGCACAACTACGTCATTGGAGCGGTTATGTGACACTTATCGATTGATTTCCATTTATAAGATCCATTTTTGGCTAACTATAAAGTTAAAATATGACTGCTCTGATATTTTGTAAGGAAAACAGTGAAAATTACAATGAAAATTGCTAAAACATTAGGTATCCCGCACTATCCTAAGAGGCATAACCTGTTTTCGGTATTTAGTTTGTAAGATTTAGAAGTCATTGGATATAGTTTAGCTTAGTTGACTATGTAAATTGGGATAAAAATATCTTATTCAGGTGTTGTTTACATTAATTTTAAATTGATGACCCGTAAATATTTTAATTTTTTAACTACTTCCCGTGTCTTGTTTTCCTTTAATTTAAATAATGCATTATGGAAGATTGTATTATTTTGCGAAATTGAAACCGTTAACGCCGAGATAATTGTCTATATTTTTCATAACAAATTGTACGTAAACAATGCTGTAATTGTGCGATTGTAATTAATAATAAAACATTAAAATATAATAAATACATTTATTCAGAGATCTACTCCTCTAATTTACAAACAATACTTTTCGAATGTCAGTTTATTTAAAATATTTTTTTTAGTTAACGCAAAAAATAAAGACACGGGCAGAGCATTTCGGAAAATATTATATATTTCCACAATTTGCATTTAATTGTCTTTATTTTCCGAATTAAATGCTGTCAACACGAGCAAAAGCCAGTTAGTAAAAATACCTATTGAAACAACACATACTTAATTTAGATCGTATTGTATAAAAATAAAAACTCATCTCAATAAAGGCACTCGAATTTATAATAAAAATAAGTGATCATATGTGTGTGAATATAACTATACTGCATCTCCAGGAAGGTTGGTTACTCAGTCTGTAAAAGAGAAAAATAAATATAAAATCAATAATTTCCATTCAAACTTTACGAATTTATGTCACAAAAAGATAACATCAAAATTAGTGAGACCAATATATATATTCCTTTCTATTAAATAAATAAACATTAAAAGCAGAATTGGTAAAGATTTAAAATATGCAAGAAGTTTAAATTTTGTCGCACACATTGCGATATCAATTGCGACAAAAATAATCGGATCGAAACAGTAATAAATTATATTGAATGAAAAAAAATATTACGATTTCCGTAATCATTTTTTCATTCAATATAATGATCTAGAATTACGAAAATATAGCGTACACCCAAAAAACAGACAGAAATAGGAATCTCCTTAATAAGGAATTGTTTGATAAATACAATTGAAATTTGATAAACTCTTTTTAAAAGTGGGTTGAAAGTTTCGACGTAAATTGTATGCTTATTTAAGAGGAGGCGTGGATAAATTGTGCTCACGTTAGGATGTTTGAGAGTGTATAATCTATCCTTCTAAGAGGCCAAACCCTCCTCTCTCTGGTCACTGCGGAAAACAATTCTAAATACGCCATTAACATAAATATTAAAATTATAAAAATAATAATAAATACAAAATATTACCTTTATAGGTTTAGCGCCGCCATTACCATGATCATGGGGGAAGAAATAGCTTTTCTTCTTCTTTACGTATGTAGCGTCAAGATGACCTCTGTAATAAACGATCATTATTAATGTAAATGCATTGGAAAAAACGTGGAATCTGGCCGAAACCATTGTCAGTAACAAAATATACTCATAACTATAATAAAAAAAAAAACAAAGGAATAATCAGTGGCATGTGTCGACTGTTACCGTTGTGGTGAACGTAAAACTCGATCAAGCTTAATATTTCGCAGAACATATTAAAATTCAACATGGCAGAAAGCGAACCTACCGCAGATAGATGGATTTTGATTTATTATCGTCGTAATCAATAATTCATTCAGCTGTTAGCTTATCTGTCATATCAGCTTAAAGGTCTCCCCATAAAAGATGTTTACCAATAGTTGCCGCGCTTGGTAGGCAGGTTGGCAACTGCAATTAGGCTTTTAGTAATGTTTTAAGAGGGACACTGCTGCCCATCCCCCGACCTTAGTTCCCTTAGTCACCTCTTACAACACCCACGGGAAAGGAAAAGTTGGTCCATTTTATGTCGAAACCACACGGCAATGTATATTCCATCACCGGAGATTTTGTCGGGAATTTAAATTGACATACAAATGTATTAGCCATTTTATAACTTATGGATTCTATTAGTCGAAGCAGTTTATCGCTATATAGTTGAACTATCCTTTATCCATATTTAAAATGTTTTGTATATAACAGTTCGTACTCGATCAAATATAATGTGGGAAGGAACTATAATAACATTTTTCGTTGCACTAATTCTTGAATATTTTCTCAAAAAATAAATTTTCATAATACCTATACGAAATTATAAATCGCAGTGGGCTATAAAAAATTCATTGGAATCGATAATTCTGCAAAGCAATTTGTTTCATTATTTGTATATCAAACAATATAATCTATTTATTAAATTACTTATCAACTACGTTTATAGAACATATGAAGAGGAAATATATGTAAAAGAAATATTTAGAAATTATACCAAAATATAGAAAACAGAAGTAACAATATCTAATTATAAACTGATACTAAAAATGGTTATTTAATCCATTACAAATAGGATTTAAAATCGTTATTATTCTACGCGTTCTAGCATATAGAGATAGCAGTCCACTAAAATTCTAGAAAAAAAAAAATTACGAATTTAAAAAAACAAATAATAGTTTACTCCAAAAATCTCAGTAAACTAAACTAAACTTCTAAAAAATCACGAATATCGTTACAACGCCCCGAATATAGCTACAACAATAGTTACTTTGCAGAACTATGCACTTACTGAAAAAAAAATTCTTCTATCATGCTTTAGTAATAAAAATAATATGAGTTAATCCAATGATTGTTTTAATTCTGAAAGTATTTGAATTACCTAATATATATATATATATATATATATATATATATATATATATATATATATATTGCTTAGCATCTCTTATATCATCTACTTCAATTAAGATTTTAATGGGAGGGAAGACAACAAGAGAGTTAGAATTAGTACCAAATGTTTAAGATTTTCTTGTTTCATTCATTGTTTAAAGTACCACAATTGTCATAAGTTTCAAATCCCCTCATAAGTTTCTCAGATCATTTGTATATATATATATATAATGTCCTCTTCATTATTACGTTGTATTCTCTACATTCTCTATCTATTGTTTATAAGCAAGCTTCTTGATCTACATACTTACATGAGGTATTTTATAGAAGTTCTTATGTAATGAAATTATCCCCTAAAATAAATAAGTTTCAGGAAAAAAGATTGAAGAACTTAAATAATATTTACGTAAAATTAATTTTTACTAAATAAATTGGGATGAAGAATTCACATATACAATAGGAATGTGACGTTCAAAAATTTCAGAACTTAGTATTATGTTATCTTATTATCTAGTATTCATAATCAGTAAGAGCATAGTCTGCGAGCATGAATCCAAACTGTCTATTCTAAACTATAGGACACCGGAATACTTATAAGAAAATATATAACCTCCCGCATCAAAAACTTGAGGACATGAGATAACACGTTATATTTCGCCGCGTCCATGCCGTATTGTATGATATTGTTCGCGCAATACGAGGACATCGGAGCGAAACACGTATTGTACAATAGCAATGCTAACATCCATTTCTGTGTGCGATTGTCGCTCTTTAGACGCCTTGCGTGTACAGGGCGCAATGAACGTACAATGTTTCTATCTTGTATCTCATTCTTTTCCACTGTTTCTATATTACTTGATGATTTCGGCCCGTTATCCAATTCATGTGAAGGTTCGAATCTAAACATGTTTATATACTTTACACCACAATAAAAGTATACTAGAGTATTAAACATAATTTTTATGTGTATTTATATGTAATGTAAATTATAAATATAATTGCTAAAAAAATACTTACCGTTTGTCGAAGTAGGACGGTGGCGTAGTGTCAAGAGATAGTTCTGTACTCGATGGCTGTAAAGAAAAAATAAATTTATCTTTTTATTACATTTACGCTGGAAAAATGTAGCTTTGTCTATATTTTATTATTATTATTTTTATTGTTAGAGAGGCAAAGGAGCAGATGATCCACCTGATTGAAATTGGCTACCGTCGACAATGAACACTTGCGATACGAGAGGAGTTGCTTGTGCTTTGCCGGTCTTTTACATAATGACTAATAACCTAAGATTCCGTCGTTGAATGTTGGTTGCTTGCTCTCAGTTAGCAGCAACCAGGTTGCAGTTGCCTTTACGCATCACTACATTAAGAGTGCGCGGGATATACAGGCATAAAGATTTCTGCAAGGATATGAATAGCGTAGCAAGTAAGGGAATATCCCACCTGCATATAAATACACTTCTCAGTACTACTGTTATCGTGCTGAAGCAACGCGCATGAAATAGACTTTCTATAGATTAACAGTATGACGTAAGTACAGCTGTTTTTACAACTCTTGTTAGTAGAATAACGTACTAGTGTTGCTAGACTAAGTATTTATTCACAATTATGGGTAAAAATATTTGTATATGCGTAATTTTAGAGGAAATTAAATGTGTGTGGAGAAATTTGGACAATTTTTTTGTGAGAGTTTTAGTATTTGTAAACCGTATATCAATATATAAATTCAATAGAACATACCAACGAAGGTAGTATTATGAGAAGTAAAGGACTTTTTTTTATCCTTCATGTAGTGAATACAAGGAAAAGCGTAGTTAAAACTGACACAAATTTGTGATTGGGCAATACTAAACGAAATCATATTACTTTGGGGATTTTTTTAACATTTGGGTAACAATAAAAGGTCGTAACCCTGTGTCGTACTCACATTGTTCTCCTTGTCCTCACTGCCGGAAGACGCCCGTCGATTCTTGCACAGCTCTCGCTGACAGCGGCAAGCGGAGCCGCAGCCCTTGTCGGACTTGACACAACCGCACATCTTGGTGGAGCAACTGCCGCGGCAGGTGCAATGGGGGCAGCCGTCGCTGCCGCGTTTGGACGCGCGTGAACCGCCACTATCGAGCTCACTGTTCGTGAAGTTCATCGTCAGCCGTGAGCGTTGTGCCTGTATATGTGGAACATTCACTATATTAATGTACTAGCTAATCTCCAGGGTATTGCTCATATCCTATGTGTTAAGTTGGGTTATAATTACTCTTCTGCATCCAAATATTGATTGGAAGACATAATTTTTAGCAATAACTATATACAGCATATAAGTAATAAGTGGAAACATTTTTTGTAATTTATTTAGTTTATTACTGTTATCTTTTGGAGGAAACAATAAAGATCAGAGAGAGACAAGCCAATATATCTATAACCTACCTGAGTGTCAAATTTCATTCAAATCTGTTCAGACAGAATTATGGGCTTACCTGTATCCGCTTGAAGAGCGGCGTGGCCCTCCAGTCCGGATCTTTCTCTTCATCTTCAAACTCGTCCTCGTCTTCATCAGTCATTTCTACGTACTCCACTTTCTTCAACGCCTGTACAGTCGTCTCCTTCTTCGTTCCTTTCTTGGGCTTTTTCCCGGCTGCACGAAGTTGTTCTAACTCATCTACTAGCTTTTTCTGTAAATAATTTTCAGTTTCAATCAGTTTGCAATTGATATTTGTTGTCTAACAAAAATAACGTTAAATTAAAAATACTGAACTTTAATCTGTTACGGAATACATTTATTTACGATAAGAACAATCACTACAAATTTTAATACAAATAAATTTATAATAAGACTTAGTAATTGATACAATAAATTAATAATAATAATAAAAAAATCTTTACTAAAGGTAACTACGACCCAGACAATTTTTGCACAATATTAATTTGTATTAAATTTAAACTATTAAATTAAATTATTATATTAATGTATGTTAATGTAAATATTGATGTATGTTAGCCAGCATGTGAATCATACTACAATGATTCACATACTGGCAGTCTGGATGGTCTGCAAATAACCTAAGATAGTGTAATAGATTAATTAATATATTTATTATTATAATTATACCATTGATGTGAAAACGACCACAATAAACTTTTCAAGAACGGTCACTATGAACGTTACTGTATACTTTAATTTTCATAGACAATAGAATACAGTGAAAACTTTTGTTTCATCGAAAACAGAATTTTCAGCGCATTTTTTGTTCACTAACTCATTCTATTTCAGCGCATTTTTTGTTCACTAACTCATTCTATAATGGATCTATCTGAGATGCAACATCAGCTTATTTGCCATATCAAGCTGTATAAGAAAATACTATCCACCTGATAGTAAGCGATTTACATTGTAACTACAACTATACTACTACATAAACGACCGTGTTAATTGGAAGTTACGTTTAATGCAATAGCATAGAGTACACATTTAATTAGCTTAGAAATAAAAACGAATTGTTATTAACAGAAAATTGATATATGAGATACAGGGATACGTTGCACTATCAAATTATAGGTTCTTCATCATATTTCAATAGTCTGTTACAGGATAAAACCTGAATGTTATTCCACACTAACGAACCGCGTTGATTGTGAGCATGTCGAGTGTTAATTTTAACATAATGATACTAGTTGACAAATGTTTCTGACTGCCCCGTCAAGAATTACAGTCATTAGATATTCATTTTCGATATTTTTTAAAACATTTATAATATAATTAACATTAGCAAAATGTTTTAAAATATTTTATATAGTTCAGGATCAATTAGTAAAATCACTTTTCGAATCTGTATTCAGGATTATAAGATAACGGTACTATATTATATTTGAAGTGTAATATATCCCTTAGACAAGAACATTTTGAAACAATGCTTTAAGGTGAGTGACATACATTTTCTTCCTCTATTTGTTCCAGTTTGTCCTGTTGGTATTGGATGACATTTTGCAGATGCTTGCACGCTTCGTTCTTGTCCCCTCTACCGACCACGCCGCGTTGTGCAGCCACTAAAGCTGATAGCTGGTAAACAAAATAATATATTGCTTACAAACCCTCAACTGTGGTTTGGTTAGACTATAATTGGTGCTAGTTATGCGGAAAAATAAGCAGAAAAAATTGCGACATCTTCTAATATCTTCACAAGAGATGGCTATTTTCTGCAAACCTTTTTTTATACCATAACATTTTTGTGTAAAAATAAGCATATAGCCCGTCTGATGGTAAATGGTCACTGTAACCTATGGACGCTTGGAGCACTATGGGTAACTCCTATTAGTCTCTAGAGAAAACCTCTGCAGAGAGGTCTATGGGATCATATTGGTTAATTAAGTGTCATTGTAAGAGTGAATCAAAATTAGGCTGTAATAATTTATATCTCACATTAGAGAGAAATAAATAAATAACAGTTGATACTAAAATTAATACTTACTGGAATACGGTAGATTTATAGTACCAAACAGTGGAAACAATTACCTTAATGCTCATTCCTTAAGTTTATATAAACAAGGTTTTTTTTTATCAGGTTAACCTTTCAGGTTTCATTAGAGAACTTCATATGTGTATAACGAAAGTGGACTAGAAATGGCGTGACAACAGACAACGACATCCTCTCAAAAAGTTATAATATTTTAGCCATTTAAGCAACTACTTAATTTATCACATTAATTACTGTACTTACCTTCTGCTCGTTCTGCAACTTAATCATCGCCAGTTGCCTTTCGAACTCAGTTTTGCTGGCTTCAAATTCAACCATTAATCTGTCATGAGCTTCCTTTATCTCCTCATATCTTGCCTGGTATCCCTTCTCACTTTGGTTCTGAAGTTCCCGCTTGGAGTCTACGAGTAACTCAAATAAGCATTTGAGGGCTACTTTTGCTTCGAGCATAGACTGGATATTGTCCCATTGGGTGCGCGATTTGTTTTCTGTAAATATAATAAATAGTATAGAATTACCATTCATCTTCATTTCAACCATTAACTGACCACTGCTGAACATAAGCCTTCTCCATAATAGTAATTTTGCTGGTAACCACACTTGGTAGCCGGGTTGGCAACCACAGTTAGGCTTTTAGAGGTGTTTCAAGAAGGATGCTGCTGCCTATCTTCTACCATTAAGTTCTTTTAGTCGCCTCTTACGACACCCACAGGAATGGAAGGGGTGGCCAATTCTATGCTGGGACCACACAGATGGATAGAATTAATTTATCTGTGGTATTATGTATTATATAATATATTAATAATACATAAAAACTAAAACATTTTACAAATTATAAGTTTCTTTCATATTCAAAATTTTGCGCAAAAGACGAGACTTTACTAGATGATGTTTGATTTTTGAATGATTTTACAGAGGGTGGAAATATGATGACAAAATATGTTAAATATATCAACTGCTAGTAAAGTATACTCACAGAAAATATTCTTTAATACAAAAAGTCTATGTTAATCCAAAGTCATAAAAGCAAAAATAGCACAAACTGTTACAGCAATCAATAATCAATTGTAACAATAAAATCTCATATTTAAACATTATACCACCAATCTAAAAATACTTTCCTACTTTTAATCGAATGAGCATGCCTATACACAGTAATATATTTCATATTTTCATAATTGTTCAGAACATGCCAAATGACTTCCGTTTCTTCAGTGGTTATTTCTTACACTGTGGCATCTCTATCAAGCAAAAAATGTATTGATGTCTCTAACACTGGGCTTTTTGAATATGGAAATAGATATATAAATTGAGTAAAGGAACAAGCATAGAACTCACCCTGGTCAGCTGTCAATATCTTCTGTTGCAGGTCCGATATTTGCGCCTTGCGTAGCGCGAGATCATTTTCAAGCTCTGCAATCTTGTTTCTATTCGCCTCGTCGTCTGTACTATTGCGAAGACTCTCGATCTGTTCTGTTATCCATGCCCTGTAATAATTGTAAAGTATTTTTTTTATTCTGAAAGGATTAACAGATTAAAAAAAAAACACAAAACTTTGACAATATCTGCAAGTTAGAACAGCGGTTCCAAAGCTTATTAATCTTAATTCCCATATATGCCAATAAGAGAATCTGAAAAAAGAAAAATGCTAAACTGTGAAATAACAAAGAAGACTGAAAAGTTATTTATTGCTAACATACTGGCAGCAACCACATTGCACACCTTTTTTTTACTTCTTTTTATTTTGTATTCTATGTTTCACTCTTCTAATTAACATTTTAGAGACACTATTTAAACAAAGAATTCTATTGATATTTTTTTATAAGGCATTGTCAATAATTTTATTTTATTTTTTATAAACAATAATATTTTATATAAATAAAAATTAAATGCATAGTATGTTATATCAGCCAATGAACTGAGGTCACAACCCAAAATACATAAAAATCATAGCAGATTTAGGATGATTTCTCATAAAATATATGCATGTGTATTCTCAGATATGTTTTTGCAAAGGTTTTCTCGCATCTTAGAGTAGTCGCTGGACAATTCGGCTCAACGCTCCTCCACACCCTTTAAAAACATGCTATGCTAATAATTTAAGGTAATTGAGAAAACAATCTTTACTAAGTTGGATAAGATCAGAGGAGGAGATAGAAAAGTTAGTTATCAAAATTAATTTTAGTAAGAATTGAACTTTGGATCTCATTTAGAGTAGCCACCCACCGCGCCATTGAGATTATTAAAAAAAGAAAAAAAAAACACTATTTAAATATTAAAATAAATGTCTATTTAAATAAAATAATTCTATGCTTTATAATTCATTATGAGAGCATGTGAAATCTTTTTTTATTCGGAAAATACTTAAGAAGCCATGTTAATGCATCTGACCTGTACTCCATGAGTTCTTCGAGGGACTTCTCTGCATCCACAATGCTGAGATGGACCTCCAATTCCTGCTCAATATACTGTTGCAGTGCGCCTGCTTTCATGTTACCCTTAGCATTGCGCTTCATTGCAGTGTGTTTTTGTTTATCTAGAGCCTCCTGTAATATATATTTTATAGGATTAATTTAAGAGCATAAATGTGGCAAAATCGCTATTATCTGTCCATTTTTTACTTGAAAAAATGCAAAGTGAAGTAAAATGTTAATAATAAACTGTGTTGCATTTTAATCAACCACTAATAACTGCACTTACTTCATATTTTACTGCAGAATTTAAATAATCAGAAAAATCGAAAATTGTTGTTTTTTAAATGTATTTCCGCCCCCACCCCCGCCCGCACTGATGTCATCACGGGTTATGTGAGCTACAGACCGTACAATTCGAAACAATTGTCGGAATCGACCAAAAACACAGTGAGTTCATACATATATATTATATGAAAACATCGAATTAAAAATGAACATTAATTTAAAAAAAAATATATTTGAACGGTGTGGACTGCCGTTCGGTGAGCGTGGACTGTAGGGGCGTTGGTTCAGGCTGGAGTGAAACACAGCGATTACTATTCTGAAGCCTCCGGTACCGTCTGAAGAGAGTATTTTTTCTTCTTGTCCTATTTCTTCTCGAGTGTAGTGCGTCGCTGCTCGGAAGCGAATGCCGCTCGACGGGAGGCGGCCTATCTTTATACCCGCCCGCTCGCACGATAACATTTCTAACTCGCGTTAGCGAATCTGTGCGAGCGGGACGGGGCGAGAGTGAACGAGACGCGTGTCTCTTTAGATCGGTACCCTATAGCGTCTATTTATTTATCACAATTTACAATTTCTATTTCTATTCGCAGGTAATAATAACGACACGTAAAGAATGCTTTATTTGACTTACACTATAGGTATCTTAAATCTATGTAAAATCTATATAAAATAACAGTATACAAAAACGATTAAACTAGGGACTTAACAACTAACTATAAACATTGCTATAAATATCGCTATAATTACACATGTACAATAATGTCGCGAACATAATCTCCCGCCGCAGCTCTCGTAGCTGGAGTTAACTCGTGTTCGCGTCGCTCGATGTCGATGTGGGCAGTATGATCAACTTCTTAGTGGGTCGCCGTAGGATGCCCTTGTTTGTCCGCACGTCGACCGCTCGGATCTCGCCGTCTGGTCCAGGGTAGGTCGCCACCACCACGCCTCGCGGCCACGTGTTGCGAGGCAAGGTCCCATCAGCTATTAGGACCAGGTCGTCCATTTTGATGGCTCCGTGTGTAGCTCGGGGCTCCCGCCGGTGTTGTAACTCGGGTAGGTACTCCTTCACCCACCGGTTCCAGAAGCAGTCAGCTAGCCTCTGGCTGGCACGCCACTCCTTGTGTCCCGCCGCGTCGCTCTCTGTGAAGCTGCCTGGCAGTGGGACGCGCGATGGACCGCCCAATATGAAGTGATTGGGGGTTAGGGCGCTGTCGTCGTCTGCCGATGTTGACACGTGGGTTAGCGGTCGGCTGTTGAGGGTGTGCTCGACCTCGACCAGTAGAGTGTGGAGGACCTCTTCCTTGGGGGCCCGCTCGTTCAACGTAGCGGCTAGTGCGGTCTTCACGCTACGCACCAACCGTTCCCAAGCACCTCCCATGAAGGGTGCGCTCGGAGGAATGTAGCGCCACCGGATGAAATGAACTGATGACTCTTCTTGGATGGCTTCCTCGGCTGCTTTCTTCAGTTCGACGTCAGCACCTTTGAGGTTGGTGCCTTGGTCGGACCATAGCTCAGTGGGACACCCTCTGCGGCTTATGAAGCGCCGCAGGGCCATTATGGCGGAGTCCGTGCTGAGGCTGCCGGCGATTTCTAGATGGACTGCGCGCGTCGTTAGGCAGGTGAAGAGCACTCCGTACCGCTTCTGGTGAGTGCGGCCCACTGTCACGGTCATAGGCCCGAAGTAGTCTAGGCCGGTGAACGTGAACGGTCGCTGATGATGCGCCAGCCTGCTCTGTGGATGGTTGCCCGTTGATGGCTGCGCCGGTCTTGCTCTTCGTAGGCGGCACAGCTGACACCTCTTCAGTTCACTGCGGACGGCGTGTCGTAGGCGCAACACCCACAAGTGTTGTCGCACCTCGTTCGTGGTGATCTCGAAGCCGCCGTGGTGAAGTTTCCGATGCACCCATGCGATGTATAGGCGCACCCAGGCGTGGTTTCCGTCGACGATGGGGGCTCTCGTTGCTCGGCTGACAGATCGGCGGCGGCTGCTATTCTCGATCGAAGTCGCAGAATGTCGTCGTTGTCTATGACGACCGACAGCTGTATGAGTCGACTGGATGACGGCAGCTGTTTCCCTTGTTTCAATACTGCGATTTCGTCGCCGAACGCCTCTTGTTGTATCGCGCGAATCCATAGTCGTCGCGCGCGATCGAGGTAGTGTGTGTCTATGGGGATGAAACACACAGATGGACTATTGCTGTTCTTGATTTTCATCTTCGTCTTCTCTCTATCGACTTTCTTCGTGCGGGTCCAAGTGGGGTCGGCGCTCTCTTTCTTCTTGTTTCTCTTTCGGATGGCGGTGCAGCGTTGACTGGTCGGTCGCAGGAGGTCGATGAACTGCAATACCCGTGCTGAACTGCGAACAAGTTTCAACCAATTAGAAAAACGTGACGGATCGGGTAATGCTATGGACAACTGCGTCGCGTTCTGTAGCTTGTGTACGCGTTCTTCTCCCGTTTCCACTTGACTATCGTCGCTCGAACTATCTTCACGCGGCCACTGCTCTTCGGGGAGGTACAGGAAGTCCGGCCCACGGAACCACCTATGCTGCGAGCCGAAGTCCGTCGGTGGGTCGCGTGTGGCGTCGTCTGCTACGTTGTGCCGCGTCGGTATCCACCTCCACTCGTTCGTCTTCGTTTCTTCGACGATCTCGGCAACTCTATGCGCGACGAACGGCTTGTATGCGCGAGGACCGGTGCGTAGCCATGCGAGCACGGTGCGTGAGTCCGACCAGTATACTCGGCGAGCGGGCTTCAGGTCGTGTTCTTCGATTGCCGTGCGTGATAGGCGACACCCGAGGACGGCCGCTTGCAGCTCCAGTCGCGGTATCGTGGTCACTTTGTTGAGTGGGGCCACTCGTCCCTTTGCCGCGATCAGCGACACGTGGACCTTGCCGGTCGCGCTTACGGCCCGCCAGTACACGGCACAGGCGTGCGCGTCCGAGCTGGCGTCGACGAATGTATGCAGCTCCGCTGTATCGGCCGTGGCTACCTCCGGGTAGCACCGCGGCACCTCCAGCGCGGACAGCCGTCGCACGTGGTCCATCCAGCTCCGCCAGGCGTCCGCTTCCCGTGGTTGCAGCTCGGTGTCCCCGTCGATACCGGTACGCCACGTCTCCTGCAATATCTTCTTCGCCTGTATGGTGATGGGAGTGGCGAGGCCCAGTGGATCGAACAGTGACATAATCGCACGTAGCGCTTCCCTCTTCGTCGGCGTCTGTTTCCCGCTGGCTATCTGTGGCGGAAGCTTGTGTCCATTAAAGTTGAAGCCTAAGGTGTCTTCAGAAGGTCGCCATACCATCCCCAGTATCTTCTCCGCGTCGAGTTGTACCACGCTGTCCCCGCCGGTGTCGGAGAACGCGACGCGCACTTGATGCGAGTTCGACGCCCACCGTTGGAGATAGTAGTTGGCTCGACCGTGGATCTGTGCGACCTGTCTTGAGACGCGTACGGCTTGCTCTTCCGTGTCGAAGCTGGCGAGGTAGTCGTCGACGTAGTGGTTCATGACCACCGCCGTTGCTGCCTCCGGGAACTCTTCCTTGTACTGTTCTGCGTTCTTGTTCTTGACGTAGATCGCTGTACACGGTGACGATGTTGCGCCGAATATGACACTCTTCATCCTATATTCCACAGGTGGACCCTCTCGTCGATCTCCTCGCCACAGGAACCGTTGCATGTCCCTATCTTCTTCCCGTATGGTGACCCGCATGAACATGTCCTTTATGTCCGCCGTGACTGCCACCCGTCGTTGCCGGAACCGCATGAGGACCCCCGGTAGCGATTGAAGTAAGTCGGGGCCCGGCAGCAGCATGTCGTTCAAACTGATGCCCTTCGTCTTGGCTGCTGCGTCGTGCACGATCCGCAGTTTCCCCGGTTTCTGCGGGTTGATGACGGCGAAGTGTGGCAGGTACCACACCCGTTGGGAACTCCGTGGCGGGGCGACTTCAGCATATCCGTTCTTGAGTAGCGTGTCCATTTGCTGTTCATATCTCTTCTTAATTTCTTCATTCTTGTCGAGTTTCCTTTCGACCAGTTGGAGACGTCGCATTGCCGATTCGTAGTTGTCCGGCGGCACAGGGTCGTCCTTCTTCCATAATAACCCCGTCTCGTATCCTCCCGCCGGTAACGGACGAGTTTTCTCTTCTAAAATGCGTAGGGCGCGACGTTCCTCTTCGTTGTAGGACCTCTTCGGTGCGATCCCCAGCGATTCGAGCGCGAAATGTTGCTTCATCATTTCTTCCATCGATTGTTCCTCTTCGTGTGTCGTCACTATGTGGCTGATTCTGTGCACCTGCTGTCTTGTCCTGCCGCGACTCGTTCCGTGCAGTACCCATCCCAGGTCGGTGAGTGATGCGACCGGCTGCGTGTCGGATCCTCTTCTGACTTCGTGGGTCAGCAGTAGGTGCCAGTTGTCTTGCCCCAACAGTACCGTCGGTTTGCCCTCTTCATAGACCAGTTCCCTCTCTATGTCTTGTAGATGTGGACAGCCCTTGATGACGCTGCGCGGTACCGACTGCGGTGATAACTGCAGTCTGTCCATCGTCCGTGCCCCCACTGTGTATTCTTGTGAATTCCGCCCGCGGATCTTGAAGTGGACACGCGTCGATTGAGCTGCGTTGATCCGTGCCCCGGCCACACCTTCCATGTAGAATGGTGCGGGGGGACCCGTAGCACCGATTCGCTCCGCCACCGCCGTCTCGATGATGGTGCAAGTCGACCCGTCGTCCAGTAGCGCGTAGGTGTCGCACGTTCCCGTGGGACCGGTGACTCGTATCGGCAGGATCTTCAGGAACGCGATCTTGTCGTTTTCCCTTGCCGATGCGGCGACTGCGGCGGACTTGTCCTCGACGACGTGCGTTGTCACTTCATTCTCCGGCTGTTGTCGCGTGGTGTGCAGCAGAGGGTGATGAGTCTGCGTGCACTCATCTACTCCACATTTCTTGCTCTTGCAGGCGTGGCGAAATCTTCTCACTTTGAGGCAACGGAAACACAGCCTATGAGTCTTCGCTAGCTCCCACCTCGCCGATGTGTCCGCTTCCTTCATCGTCTTGCAGTCCGATGGAGCGTGTCCCTCTCGTCGACACATCGGGCACGGTGGTGTAGCGGGTTTCTCCTGCGTCGTGTATGTCTTCGCCGTCTTCCTAGGAGCGGACTCCCGCCGGTCTTCGGACGGTATCTCCTCGGCGGGGGCGAAGTTTCCACATCGTGCGGCGGTCCTTTGCAGGAACTGAGAGAGTGTTATGAGGTCCGGTTGTCCCTCCGGTTGGTCGTTGGCGAAATCGTAGTACTTGAAGCGTAGTACCGACGGCATCTTCTCTGTGACGTTTCTTACTATTTCTTCGTTGTAGAGGTAGTGACTCTTGTTCAGCGCTCGTATCGTGGCGACGACGTTCTGCACCTTGCTCGCGAAGAGGCAGACGTCTCTTGCGTTGTCCGAGAGTCGTGGTAGCGCGCGGAGTTTGTTCAGTTCGGCTGTGACGAGTGCTCCAGGGCGGCCGAACCTCGCGGCTAACATCTTCATCACTTCTTCTGCGGTCGTAGACCCGACGAATAGGGAGCGTGCCGCGTCCTTTGCGGCCCCCTTCAAGCTTCTGCGCAGTCTTGCTAGGTTCTCCTGTTCTGTATGTTGACTTGCGCTCTCTTCATAGGCCATCTTCCATGGTAACCACTCGCTCGACGATCCATTGAAGACTGGCAACTCGGTGACTCTTGACGCTGTGGAGGGCAGTATGTTGCGAGCGGCCATCTGCATGGCGATCGCAAACTCGTTACAATCGATGCCCACCTTCAGCACCGGTTCTTCTTTCTTCGTCGACTGCATCGCTGCTGCTATCGTAGGAATGGCGGCATGTGGGTCAACGTGGCGTGCGTGGTCCCGGTGAAGTGCGTCGCTGCTCGGCTGTGGCGGCGGCGCTCTCGAATCCTCTTCAACGGGTCTCGATGGGACGAACCCCTGACGCTTGCCGGTGACCTCTTCTATCTCTGGTACATGCGGCTCCATCGTGAGTGCTAGCGTGCTTCGATGAACCCAATCCGACGTTCGTTCTCTTCTGACGGTAGCGTCGTCGTCTTCTATTTCCTCGTCGTCCTCCGATTCGGCTTCCAGGGCGGCGACACGTGCAGCAGCCAATTCCACCTCCTTTCGAAGTAGCTCCTCCCGTGCCTTGGCCAGAGCCTTCTTCTTTTGTGAGGCCGTGGTGCGAACCGTGCGTGCCGTGCCGTGCTTCGGTTCCTTCTTCCTTGCTGTCTCCTCTGTCGTTCCTGTGGCTTCGGTAGTCTCCGTGGCTCCTGTGGTCGTCGTATCGCCGGACGTGTTCGTAGTCGATGTGGTGGCGGCGGTAGACGACGTGGCAGCGACAGAAGACATTCTGACAGCCGCAGACGACGTGGTGGCAGCAACGGACGGCGTGGCAGCGACGGACAGCGTTCCGGCGGCCGTAGTCGACGTGGTGGCGGCGGACGTTGTGGCTTCGGTGACGGCGATTTTCTGCTGCGACGACTTCATGTTTCTCGTAGTCGGCATTTCAGCGATCCGGCTTCAGAATGGTCTTCCTCCAGCGATCCGGCTTCTCGATGTACCAACGGTGTTCCTCCAGCAATCCGGCTTCTCGAAGGACCACGATGAACGGTGTGGACTGCCGTTCGGTGAGCGTGGACTGTAGGGGCGTTGGTTCAGGCTGGAGTGAAACACAGCGATTACTATTCTGAAGCCTCCGGTACCGTCTGAAGAGAGTATTTTTTCTTCTTGTCCTATTTCTTCTCGAGTGTAGTGCGTCGCTGCTCGGAAGCGAATGCCGCTCGACGGGAGGCGGCCTATCTTTATACCCGCCTGCTCGCACGATAACATTTCTAACTCGCGTTAGCGAATCTGTGCGAGCGGGACGGGGCGAGAGTGAACGAGACGCGTGTCTCTTTAGATCGGTACCCTATAGCGTCTATTTATTTATCACAATTTACAATTTCTATTTCTATTCGCAGGTAATAATAACGACACGTAAAGAATGCTTTATTTGACTTACACTATAGGTATCTTAAATCTATGTAAAATCTATATAAAATAACAGTATACAAAAACGATTAAACTAGGGACTTAACAACTAACTATAAACATTGCTATAAATATCGCTATAATTACACATGTACAATAATGTCGCGAACAATATTGTTTTTGAAAGTTTAAAGATTTCTGCGACGGTTCCACATTTTTGGCAAGTTAAAGTGTTATGATTGTTTTTAAGATAGTGCTTACCTTAAGCCTCTTGTTGACGGCAACAGCCTCCTCCATCTTGCGCTTGAGCACGTTCTGCTGCTTGGCGTGGAGCGACTCCATCTTGGCCATGGCAGTGGCGCGCTTTCGGTCCTCGTTGCGCAGACGCAGCAGTGCACGTTCGTTGTCAGCCTTCCATTTACGGAATTTCTCGCTCTCCTCGCGCATTTGTTTTATTATTTTTACCTAATTGAAATAGTAATAAGATTATTATAATATAAACTGATACTTTTTGAAAAATAGCTACGAAATATATTTCCTTTTTATAATCTTGCGCTACTTGGTATTTGTATTCACACAAATTTAAAATTCGTAAAATTCTATTTTTGAAAAAAAAGTAACAGTTTTCTTGACGATTCATCTCAATTGAAATCGCATTCAGAATGGAGTGAAAGAATACTCAAAACTCAGTTTAACTGAATAAAAAAATCCTATTTCTCGCGAGTTGTTCATTCAGATAGGTTGCCGATACATGGGTAGTCTTTAATACAAATTGTCAATTTTCTTCTAAATGGAACCATTCAATGAAACTGATATACTCTAAATAACTAGTCAAATTCGTGCACAGTGTTATTAAGATAGACCAAACTTTAAATTTTTTTTTAGTATGTCAAACAATCTACCCGCCCATTTGATGGAAGGTTACCGTGTTGACGTCGTCTATAAACATGAAGAGCACCTTGAATATCACAGAATACTCAGTGATACCCATGGAACAGAAATATCCTATAAGACTAATTATAAATTGTTTGACTCAATTACCTTAGTGACTTTCATGGCCTGCAATTCAGCATTGAGCGCCGCAATTTTAGCTTCGTTCTTCTCTTTTGTCTTAATGATGTTGGCCTGGTGCTGACATTTCTTCTTCAAGTCTTGTATTTCAGATTCTAGGGCTGATACTTTAGTACGTCGCTCTTCGTGTGATGGATCTTTTGTCTTAAATATATAAGTATTTTATTTGATTAACTAGCGATCCCCACCGACTTCGCAAGGATGCAAATTAATATATAATATATAGTAAAATAACACGACAATATTAAAAAGAACGAAATTATTAAAATTTATTGAATGATTATGAAGAAGAAGAAGTAAGTCTTTGTTTTATAATATTAGAGACATTTTATTTAAATATACTAATGGAATATTAAAAAAAAATGTGATCTAATTTTACAGGATTAAATTATTAAATTTTTGTAATTTAGTAAAACTATATACGACACATATTAATTATAGAAAAATGTACCTAAAACAGTAAATTTAATTATTAAATAATTAAACAGGCAGAATATCTGTAATTTTCGATAATAAATGAAGTACAAAGAGATTTTATTCTATTTTCTAAAAGTTTTGCCACATTTCTGTTGTCATAAATCATTTAGAAACTATATATATTTACCTTAGTTCGTTTTAACTGTTGCAGAAGTTCATCTTTCTCTTTCTCGAGCTGAGCGATCTTTTCTTCATTCTCTCTGAGATTATTGTGACTGTCCAGCATGTCCTTGTTGTTTGCAAGTATCGCTTGTACCACCGACGCTTTGATAGCCATAGCTCGGTTCAATTCTTGTAGCTCTTGGTTTAGTGCCACCTGAGAATACATATAAGTAAATGTGTATAAAAATTTATACTTATAGGGACCAGTAACTGCTTTCAAATAGATATTGTAACTGATTTTACTAGGAGTACTTATTCTTTTCTAAGTACATTTCTACTCCGATTTTTATAAAAAAAAAATATATTATGTCTATTTACACATTGTCATTCACAGTACCTTTTCTGTACACTAATATCTTGCGAATAAAGTGCTGTAAAAGATAATATGTGACAACTGCCGCAAATGTGTGACAGCTTTAAAATTACCTGTCCCATAGCTCTCTTCTCTTCCTCTAAAACTGCTTGGTCCTCATTCAACAACACTTCTTCATCAACTTTATCTTGATCATTCTCTTCTTTGACAAAGGACAACTTAATTTCATGGTCTATCAGCTCTTCATTATTCTTCAAATTAACAGACTGTAGATCTTCTAATCTTGTCTTAATCTCCTTTAAGTAATCAACAACACTAGTTCTTTGAGAGTCGTTATTTTGTACTTTCTCGCTTGTGTTTAGATTGTCAATGGTTTGGTTACATTGTTCCGTCAACTCATTCAGTTTCCGTTCAATTTTGTCCTTTGCGGCCTCCGCCAAAAGTGCCTTTTCGCATAAATTTGTGTTTTCAATGAGCATATTACCGAGATGTTCAGTAACTTGCTTATGCTTTTTCAGTAGTTCGGCGTACTTCGCTTTCTCTCTTTCTAACTGCTCTTGTAGTTGTTCATTTTTCTGTTCAGATATTGTCGGCAACTTTCCGAGAAGCTCTAGCCTTAGTTCATTGACTAAGTTGTTCAATCTGTTTGGAAATATTGTAGCCATTTTATAATTTGAATATAAAACCACAGATAGCAAAAAAGGTATCAAGTGGTCAATTAAAAATAAATGTCTTATTTTGCAAATTTCAATTAGTTTTAATGTGATTTTATTGTATATCTGTGTATTTTATAACATCTGCATAAAATTTATGTTATTTGATTTTTGTGTGGTTGCAATTCGAAAAAAATTAATTTAAAAATTAAAAAGTTAACCAAATTTTTAAAGAAAACAAGACCTAATTGGACTTACATGTATTTATTTCAAAAGGTATATTAACACTGAAAATCCAGACATTATTTTTAATCGTTATATAGGGGTTGTATCTTGTATTTACACCAATTACATTATTTACCACTGATCTTAAACGAAGATAAATATGTCTCACATTTTGACTAAACAATATATTAATATCTTTTGAAACTGACCTGATGATTTCAGCGGCTTTAGCATCTTGATTAATGATAGGTTTGTTTCTAATGCGACGCGCGCGGTCGGCGTAGCGCAGCGTAGAGACCGTCTCGTCTAAATTGTAATCCGCTGGACTTACGCAAGCGACCATCAAAGTCAACGAGTTGCCGCCAAGACTATCTGAAGAGTATTATTTTTTTTAATATTATATACGTTATACGAGACTAGCGATATGCCCCAGCTTCGTATGGTTTGTTTTAAATAAAATACAGTTCGGTACTCACTAATAATGTAGCAGTCTATAAATGAAAGAATTTTAAAATCGGTTAAATATATTTTGACATTAGAAACAAAAAAAACCTTTCTTCTTTATATTATTAATTAATATTACAGTATTGCTTTATACCCCGGTAATGGTCGTGCATCAATAAATTGTATTGTGAAAGCAGGAATAGAAGAATAAAGTAGATGATAAATAAAAGACAATGTAATATTGAAATCACTGAACAGTATTGCCAAAGTAAAATAGGAGTGTTCTATTAGTGAAAATGCAAAGCAAAAAACCGGCAGCGAACTTTCCGTGTGGCCGGCGCCGGTCCCTAGGGACCGGCAGCGAACTTTCCGTGTGGTGAGCGTCAGTCCCTGGGGACCGGCAATAAAATTTTCCGTGTGGCCAGCGTCGGACATATTCAATGTTATGATGGGCAATAACATTGATTTCCAAAACTAAATTCAATTTTCTTTTTACGAACAATCTGTACACTTCGATAGCTCTTTTGTAACTGATCACCTCTCGAAGGTACGTACGTGGTTTTACTATAGTAAAAGTAAGTGATGTATACATCATACGAAAATATGGAATAGAATCACACATACATTACACATACACCTAAAAAACGTTCAAAATAGCGCGACAAAGAATTCCTTATCTCATTAGTACTAAAGTAATCTCTTGGCGATAGCATACAACATTGTATCTCTCGCCGGCTGCCGGCTGAACGGAAAGGACAGCAAATTCGGCGCCGGGCTCAACATGTTAACAGGTTTTGAATGTTAAAAAAACTAACTTGATAGCTGAATAAGCATAAAACTCGCCAAGTTAGTATGGGGAATCAAAAGTTTTTGTCAATTTCCTGCCCAGTTTTTATATATATTTCAATTTATTTCTAAGGTCGCATTGCATGAATTCCCTAAAATATTTTTTCTTTTTTTATATACTACTGTAAAGGAAGGAAAACTCGGAATAAAACCCTATCTATCTGAATCAATCCTTGTAATATTGAGAGATTAATTGGCATATTTAAGTTTACTTTTTAAGAGCGGCGGTTTGGCTGCTTATAAAAAGAGCATATTTACTGTCAGACAGGTTGCGAAGCTTTATTGGCATTATGGGATTCATCCCACTAGATGATTCTGATGATGATAATACAGTCCAGTCCTCCTAACTCCTCTTAAATACATCTATGGATAGAGTAGTATTTGCAATGTTTACATACCCTGTAATAATCTTGTGAGCTTGCTATCTCTATAACTTATAAAACTTCGGTTGGTGCCATCGCCAAGTGCAGATATGACATTTCCCAGTGCTAGTAAACCTTGGTTGATCTTCACACCTTCTTTCAATCTCTCGCCACTTGCCTTGGTCTTTTTTATGCGTTCAGAACCAGCTAAATCAACTAAATGGAATTTTGAAGTTGTTGCTAAATTCCTGAAAATATATTATTTTTCATAAATTCTTGAAGGTCAACTTAAAATTTTGTGTATGATTAATCTTAGTATATCATCTAGTCTATGTTCTACTTATATGATTAATTACTTTTAAAATCTATAATTATTAATTCATAGGTAAAAGCTAGAATATAATTCAATTTCTGATTAGTGTTAATACTTCTGCAAATAGTTTCTACACACTTGTCAGTCCTGCTCTCTTTTGTTATAACTATAGTAAACACTGCATGACTCCGACTTGATGCCTGGTTCATAGCTGTTGAGCCTGTTACTCTGCCAATGGACCCTCGCTCCAGAACCATCATAGTTTCAGCTGTAGATGTAACTGGCAACTCTGTTATGCCTGTAAATTTATATAAAATATAGAATAACTTTACTACTAAAAGTTTATGTTATAACTCAGTTCTGAATTTAAATCAAAATAACAATACAATTATATTAAAAAGAAAAAAAAAACAACCATAATAAAGCTAATACAACAAAAGAAATGTATTTACCTGGCAATATAACACCTTTGTTTATGTCTTCCCTGATTTCTATGATACTGTGACCGCGTTCTTTCCCAGATAGTAAATCATAGCACTGTTCTTGATACAATTCCATAAAAGAAACTGTAACTTTGAAGACAAACTTATCTTCATGGGTCTCTATGAAATCAAATATGTCTGCTACAGCTTGTGGAATTACACCTGAAACATTATTTTATAAATATTCATTTACAAAATTAAATTTTTATAATTTAATAACTGCAAATAATAATAATTATGGTGGAAGCTATATAAAACATTAAAAGAAGAAGCAATAATAATAAGATTTTAGCAATATTTAATCTATTACAGTTTTGTTATGAGTCTATATGTTTAAATACCATAATTAATATTTTAATAAAGTGCATGTGTGTATAGAACAGCATTACATTTTTTTATTTGGCATGACTAGTTTTAATGTAAGTTGTAATCTTAATGAAAAATTAATATATATTCTGCCCTAAATAACAATGCAAAAATAAACAAATAGCTAGAATATAAAAGGATCTTTATGTAATATCATGTAATATATTATTTTGTCAATCTTATTTATATTAGACTAATTAAAAAAATGCAACATGTCAGAGCTGTTCAAATATAAATAAACAGATCATATATCTAGGTATATATATTGAAGTGCAAAACTTTTTGTTCAATTAATTTTTTTGTTCTCATTTTATTACAACATTAGAGTATGGCAAGAAAACAAATATGATTATATTACAAAAGATAAAATCTTACCTAATTTAGTGGAGTCTCCATCGGATCCTGAGTAATTTGTACCCATTGTATAGGTCTTTCCTGAGCCTGTCTGGCCATAGGCAAGTATTGTTACATTGTAACCTAAAGAAACACATTAAGTTACAATTTTGTCTATGTTAAGTCCCTTACAAGATAGTTTTTTTTGCTGCATCCAGCTTAAATTACAAATATGTAAGATTATTTTAAGGTTTAATATGAATGTGGTATTTAGAAGTTGTATCTGCTAATACAGCCCAATACAATTCTTACAATACAATCCTTCTATTAGTGACAATGCACATGTTAATGGATTTAATTTAAGTAATAACACAGTAACTATTAATTAGTTTAATAGAATATAAATAAATAAAGGAAGATTGGGCATTTGTGGTGCTTCATTTTCCCTAAAGACACTGCAATGAAGTGCCACTTTTTCAGTCATTCTTTTGCCTGCCTCAAATCACTGTTAATTTTGAACATGTTAAAAAAATATAACTATTAATGAGTCTACATTGTTATATTATATTTTTATACTTAATAATTTTATATACATTTTTAAATATTATCAATTAATTTAATTTAATTTATATAAATTAATATATTTACAAAATAAGTAGGTACTAATCATTCAACAACTCAGTGGTAGTAATTAAAGAATATAAAATGGTGAAACCCTTTTGGATAGGGCAGTCATGGTCAAAAGATGTAAGTGAATGAAACCATGAATTATAATTCTATCAAGACAAGTAGTATTATTTTCCGTTAATTACTCTAAAAAAATATTATTTTAGTAATTAATATTAATAGGTTAGTTTTGCTAAAGTACAATTTTATGGACAATTATAAACTAAATTTATACTAATTATATTGTAATCTATTAAAAATTTAATTTAGTGTTGCTGTAATATAAAATTGAAATGTTTATAGATAAATTTAGAGAATGGTGGCTTCTCAACGCTAATATCTATTTCTTTTTAACTATAGGTGATCCAAATGGTAGCTTGGATAATTTAAGATGCAAGTAAAGAAAGATCATACTAGTTCCAATGTGAATTCAAAATAAAATCCTGAACTAAACAATCAGATAAGTGTGGTAACTGATGTCCTCCTCTAATGACCTCTAAGACATCTGGGCTCAGCTTGATATAGATGTCTGCTATAAACTGTGACAAATAAAGACCTGAATTGTCTGCTGCCAACAGCTACCTTTTTTGTCAAAAAAAATTAAAATAAAATGAATTGAAGATTAATAAATAAATACCTTGAAAGAGTTTTCCTATAAGACCTTTCACTGATGTGTCATAAAATTCTTGCTGAGTTATGTGCTGAGCAAATACATAATTGTATGTGAATGCAAGGTCCTTTATTTGCACTTGCTGCTCTCCAGGGACAACTTCTATACATTCATCACAACCTCTTTCAATCTCCTGCTGCATCAAAGGTCGAATACGAAGAGCCACTTGGACTGTATCTATTGTTACTTTTTCACTTTCCACCATTGTTGTTTTTTTATTATTAAGTACTAAAAATAAATTATGGACAGTTTAAATGTCCGTTTTTATTCAGCTTCGTTAGCAATTTATTAGCCTTTTCATATCTTCTTCTCGCGATGATCAGGGAACTGTCAATTATTTTTATCAAACCAAAAAGGCTTTTGGATGTTTTTTGTCACATATTATTCATACTTTTTAGTTCCTTGCTAAAAGAAAAAAGTTTTAAAATTTGAGGAAATATAGTCAAGACAGAATGTCTTTACTAAACCATTGTGTCAAAAAGTACTAAGAATACATTTAGGACAATTCTAAGAGTTTGTAATCTTACCAGGAATCGTAATATCAATTCATTAAATTTGTGCAAATTATAGAAAACGAATAACATTAAATTGAAACAACAACAAGATAATATTTTTATGAGCGACGGTTAATGAAACGACTGCTTTTAAATTTGAGTTTAGTTCAGTTAGTGAGACAGGCGCGAATGCCTTAGATAAATGACATTGACTTTGACATTTTCTATGACAACAACCGTCGTCTAGGAAGTAATGGTCCATAGATAAATAAATCCATAATTGTTAAATAAGTGTGATTTTTTTAAATAAATTATGAATGATCAAAAAGATTATATTTAATTTGTGCGAGATTCTTAAAAAAGTGTATTAAGGATTCTTCAAAAGCGTTGTTTGCATGAACAAAGTGTAATAAACTAGTGTAATAAATACCAGAGGGAGACTTTGTATAAAAGTCGATTGCTTGGGTACCTCTGTCCCATTCATGTTTCAACCATGAAGCAGTTGTATGCGTATGTTTGCATGGCTGTGTTTCGGTTTGAAGAGTGGGATATGGCGTGAATTTACTGGGTACAGAGGAATAACACCTGAGTCCTCAGGAATAGCAACGCATGGCAGGTATTATGGGCGAAACGGTATACTCTATTATGTCCATGGTACTGCTTATGTCTATAGGCGACAATTACCACTTTATATCAGATGGGCCGTCAGCGTGTTTGCCATTCTAAGTTGCATAAAAAAAATAGTGATCTTTGTTTAAACAGAAAAAATCCTAAGAACAAGAAATTACATAGAAGGAACGATAAAATAAAAACTGTAAATCATATGGTTGCCTCCCTTCTTCTTATGCAAATATAATTAGTAAAAAGAGGACGAAAGATAGACCGTCAGTTGCTATTTTTCGCAATTATTAGGTTAGTGCATAGAAATGTTTAATATGTCAATTATTTGTCAGTGACAAATTTTAAATTACTAGATTATATATTCGACACAGTTTATATAGAAAGTATGCAAGCAGGTTGTATCTAAATTTGGTAGGGTTATAGTACCGTATAACATTTTTTTATACATTAACTTGTTATGAATTGAGAAAACTAGCAACTGATTGTGTATCTTTCATTCTCTTTTTACTAATTATATTTGCGTAAGAAGAAAGGAGGACAGTTTTTATTTTATCATTTTTTCTATGTAATTCCTAATTCTTAGGGAAAAACATTTCATTGAAGTCTCTTACTTTGACTGACTGAATGACATAAACTGATTTAATGCTATCTATCATTCTATTGTCAAATTGTTAAAAGCGAGCGAAAATTTTTAGTTTCTTTTCTTGTAAATTTTTATTTTTAATACAATTCTTATAAACAGCGTTAAAATAACAGAATCGTGTGAATAAATCATTTATAACATTGTCGTATTAGTGCAGGGTGAACACGTTTTTACATTGATCTTAGTTTTGTTTATAGCGTCATGCCGCCTCGTACTCGAGGGAGATCAACAAAAACTTTGAAGGAGAATACAGATGTTTTGGAGCGAAACAAATCTAGAATAAAGCGTAAAGTAACGAAGGCACCAAGAAAGGCTTTAACAGACAAAATCAATTCAGCATCCGATGATGACATGTCTGTGGAGAAACAAAAAATTTTGAAAATTGTAATTCCCAAGATACCAATCAGTGGATTTGAATCTAGGAATGTAGCAAGACCTTGTCGCGAAAGGCGTTTACCTTCTCGGTATATTGAAAGTGATTTCCTGAAAAATTCATCCAATAGCAAATATGATACCGTTATTGACAGTACAGTTAAAGTTAGCTCTATAAACCTAACTAAAAAGTCCAAAACTACTAAACTAATCAAAAAGCAATCATCGTCAAACGAATCACCTATTCCATCTCCATTAAAAACACCACAAAAAGTTACAAATGTAGAGAACAACTTAGTAGTAAATCGGCCCAAAAGACTGTGTAAGTTACCTTCGAAATTTAAAGATCATTCACTGAGTCCAACTAAATCTTGTGTCATACAACCATGCCATGCTAGTACACCAATAGTACAGAATAAGACCACTAGAACAAATCAAAATGTTACTCCATCTAAAAAATCTACCTCAGATGAACTAAATAAGAAGAATGATAAGACAAACAATTGTGTTACAATGATAAAGCAAACTCCACAAAAAAGACACATTCAAAGTCCTATTAAAAAAAGTATTTCAGATACAAATAATAATGCCAACCAAAAGTTACTGCGAGTGAGAACTAATAATAAGGCATCTCAGGAAAAAAAATCTACACAGGTAATTGTTTCTAATCACTTTAGTAATAAAATATCAAATAAGAATTTATCATTTAAAGTTCTTGAAGATAAGCCTTCCTCTAAGAAAAGTGATAATTTAGATGTTTATGAATTCACATATGATCCCAATGAAGAACCACCACCAAAGAAGAAAAGGAAACGAGTGACTAAAAAGAAACCAGTACAAACTAGAACTGTTGTTTTCAAAAATAGTTATGACAGAAATGTGAATAAAGTTCTGGCAGCCTTGAAGAATGTTGTTGCTAAGAAATCTCCAATACCTCAAGTGCTAACAAGTGATGTTGATATAGAAAAAAATATAAAACAAGTAGTAAATGGGAATAAAACAAGTACACAAAATATTAATTATGACAATATACAAATAAATACTAATAAGGACAAAATTGATACCAGATCTCAAAGAAATGTTCAAAATAATAATAAAATTGATGCCAGACCTCAAACAAGTGTACAAAATAATGATAAAATTGATGTTAGACCTGAAATAAATATACAAAATGTGGATAGCATTATTAATCATGTTCAAAATAATGAACCAAGAAATGAAACTGTTAATAACATAACAGTTCCAAGTAAAAATTACAATTCTGTTAGAGTGGAAGACATTGCAGCAGATTTTGAAATAGATATAGATCATAATGATATAAACTACTCTCCAGTAAACTCACCACATAGGGCAAATACACCAACACAACAAATTAGTTCTGTTACAGAGTACAACTCTCAAAGAAGTGTACATGATAAAGATTCACTCAATCGCCAAGGAAATCTTAGTTTCTTTGATGACATTCCTATTGCAAGTAGTAGTATGAACATGTCAGTTAGACATCCACAGGCTAGTCCATGGCGTGTTGAATTTGGTAACCTGCCTGTAAAATGGCATTCAAACACTTATGTAAAGCCAAATATGACCCCTGCAGTTGAGAGTTCATTCATAAGTTGTGAGGACAACAAAAAGAAACATGTTTATACTAATATGCTGCCACAACCAGATGAGGTGCTGCCAGAAATTATTCAGAATAATGAGCCCAATTTGAAGCAGACAAGTATAATATCATTCATAAGAGAAATAGCAGAGAAGAATGCTGCTAAGAAAAAAAGAGGGAGATCTGTTACACCAACAAAAGTAAATTCAATTTTTGAAGATATAACCAATGTGTCTGGTAATATACACACAGCTGCTGTTCATAAAACACCTAATAAAGGTTCTAAGACAATGAAAGAAAAACTGGTAACTTCAAATAAGGAGTCAGTAGAAAATGTAACAAATAGCAGTAGTGATTTAATAGATGATAAAGAAAATCATGATGAAAATGTGGAGCAAACAAATAATAAATCAGCACAAAAAGATAAAAATGCTACATTCTTTGGATTTGATGATAGTGAAGATCAAGAAAATGTGTCTCCAATAAAAATAGATAATCCCAGGGTGCTGGCACTGAGGCCACGAGCACGGGCTGTTCTTCAAGAAATCAATGCTCAGCCAGGGCCTACAAGAGCTGTATTGCCTATTGCTGCTAAGTCTAGGATTGTAGCAAGTTCAGATGCATTGAAGCGAGTCTATGAAGAAATTAAATCGGCAACTGATGCTCCAGTTATATCAGACAAGCATGCTGAGGAAAAGAATGAAGGAATAACAAACATTAATAATAGCTCATCTGATTCTGAATTGAGTGGAGATGATTCTCAGTCTGTACATTTATTTGAAGATTTGGAAATTATACATCACCTGAAGGTAATTTTATTATTAAATGTTAACTAATAAATGTTTGTATAGTAGCAAGTATTTTTTTTTTAAATCTATTATTTTAAATCAAAAAAGACTACAGGTAATACTATCTTTTTTTTACTAATAATTTAGGATTATTTTTAAAGATTTATATGAAAATCAATACTGATATCTATGGAACAATTATTTCCAACTTATATATCTAAGTATACACACAATAACTGGAAATAAAGTTATCATCTACTTACAGTACAGGTAGTCTCTGAAAATGAGTATTTTTAAAAATATATTTTTAAATCAGCTGCTGTTTTTATATATTCCTTTTTTTATATATTGACTGCTTATATATAAAATATATTGATACTATTTCATATATAAATTACACCTTTCAATGGAAAACAAACTGGCATTTACATTTATAATATAAAAACAGTTGAAAATATTATTAACAATATTAATTATGTATTTACTTATTTTTCAGCCATTACGAAAAAGTTATGGGAAGTCTAAGAAGGTGACATTCCAACAGAGATCAACGTCCGACAGTGATGTGCAGAATTCTGATGCTGAGCAAGCTGTATCCAGTGATGAAGATGATCTTGCAGACCTTACATTTACAATGCCTAAAGCACAACTTAAGAAGAAACCTAAAATTACTAGGAAAAAACCAACAAAGAAACAGAATAAAGCGAAGAAAGAGGTATAATTTATTTTATTCTAATTGATATTACATGTGATGACTATCATTAACCATTATGTTAAAAAAATCCTGACATATGTGCATATCTACATCCTAAAAATTTAAGTTCCATATAAAGCTAATCCATTATTATTTTATTACCAAGAAGTTGTTATACTTCAATGCTTGTGTTTCTCAGCCTGTGAAATGTGATTGAACAGTGAAACTACTAAATAAGGAGGTATAATAGATTTTAGACCACGGGAATAGGAATGTCTGAGGGATACCATTGGTTTTTCATCACATTCCCATTCTAATATTATAAAGAGTCATACTTTTTTATAAAAATTAAGAAAGGTGTATGGATATATATATTATTATTATTATGTTAATAAATTATCGTTTACTTTTCAGGAGGAAGCAGCAGAAGCATGGGCAGCTGGATTTAACTCTATGTGTGAAGACATTGAGGAATTTCCTTTAGTTGTTGAATAATGACAGTATATAACACCCTATTATTCAATTATCAGATGTAACATATTATTCTATTGTAGAAACATGTTACACCAGGTACAGATTAGTGCAATGTAACTTGAAATGTAACATTTTGAGGTCCATATTCCGTATCAATTCTCAAAAACGGGTCAACTTTTTGTCAGCTAATTGTCAAATTAGCTGATTAGTTTTTTATTAGTGTTCTATATACTTACGCACACAATGTATTAATATCGTATCTATATTTAATTATCTAATAAATAAAATGAGTTTTTACACATAAATAAAATGCAAAAATTATAAAACAATATATATATATATATATATATATATATATATATATATATAGAAGTTATAAAGGAAACACTCAGAACTATTTATTACGTAAAATTGTAAATTTATTACGTAAAAATGTAAATTTAAAGTGTTACATCAGCGGATGATGATTGTTGAGATTGAAAGCAGGTCAGTTGGCACACGGTGATGAATTTAACAAGAATTAACTATTATTGTTTATAGGGGAAACTGCATCAAGGTCCACTTGATAGGCTATATTGCTAGCAATGGAGCTTTTAGACCCTATCACTAACAACACTTTTGTCCCCCAGCACCAAGAGGTAGTATGCACTCCTCATATAAATTACTGTGTATCGATTCAGACCTACGTTTGTTGACACAAGGATCATAACAAACTGATCTTGCTGGAGTGAAGAGCATGGATGACGACAAGTTGTGTTCGTGGTAGATTAGCGAGAACATTGTTCTCGTGCATATGCACGAGAGGGGTTTGTAGCGTATGCGCGGTTCTGGCGCGCGACGCGTCCACACTGGTAGCGAATATGAAAGGTGGAATGATAAATTTCATGTTACACTGCATCAGTCTGTACTCAGCATAAGATATTTTATATAATTTCAATATTTTATTCCAGTAAAAATGAATAGAAATAAAAAATCAACTATTCATAAGATTGATTATTTGAAAGGTGAGCTCTGTGTGAGAATACACATTGCTATTTTCGATGTTGTAATATTCTGTAAATATTGTAGAGATTTATTGCATGACAGTGGTTTGAATTTGCATATTTTATTATTATTTAAGTTGCATTTTATGTTTAAGTACTAGTATTTTTGATTTAGTAAACTTAATCATTAATTGTTCATCATTTCATTTTAGATGACTGTGTGTTATTTTTTATATAACTCATAAATATAGAATATTCTATATATAATATCATATAGTAAAGATAAATATTTAAATATCTGAAGCAACCACCAACACAAAGTCACATCGCCGATAGAAATGTTTAAATGTATAGAATTGACAAAGGATTGATATTAATAAAAAAGAGCTATTGAAGCTTCTTTTCAACACCATACATTTCTTTGTAGTATATATAATTAAAGCCATATATAATTCGCACCTATTTCTGTAAATCTTTTACCCCGCAGAATGTTGCACAAGTTGGCGGGCTAGTTATATCAACACATTCATAATTTGTAAGTTAACAACTAGTGTAATAAACTAGAACACAAAGTTCAATTTAAAGTTTTGTTGCCATTATTTACAATTTTAAGTACAAAACAATTATATAAGTTTTTTTTTATAGTAATTATAAACATATTGATTAAGAAGACGCCTTAATTGCGAAAGCACTTCAATTAAGAGACTTCTTGCGTTATCTTTCCTTAATCTAATTATTGTAGATCTCTTAGAGGTCAATATTACAATTGTCAATTAAGTACAATCAGCATCAAAAGTAATGAACTTTACAGATGTCTAAAACTTATAAACACTGTAATTTTTTTATAATTAGTGAAAATTGAATGGTAACCCCACCTGCTCTATCAGTATTCGCTGACGGAGCTCCAGTGAGAGATGATAGGTGTGGATGTAAGCAGGTCAGTTAGCCCATCATGATAAATTCCACAAGAATTAATCCTGATGTCTTCCAGAGGGAACCGCGTGGAGGTCACGTTGATGAGTATATTGCTAGCAATAGGGCTTTTAGATCCTATTATTAACAATTTTAGATTGGACGGCTTAAATTAGAAGAGTTAAAAAACATCTCTTCTTTCATCTTCTTTCATTGTTCTAGCTCCCATATATATATATATATATATATATATATATATATATATATATATATATATATATATATATATATATATATATATATATATATATATATATATATATATATAAACTTAATTATACTGATGTATGTAAAACTTATGTATAAACTTAAGTTTGTCTAGTTCTTTTTGTTTGATAATTGTCACAATTTTGTACACCGCTCTACCTGCGGACATTGATGCTCCTATCCACTTTGTATTAATAAATAAATCTATTGCTTTGCTTTCCAACACGGTACATTAATAGCGCAGCAAGGTTATCCTCAGAACTGGATTGACATTGTATAAAGTTCAAGTTAATGGCCTGTGATGGCATATGTATGCAACGAAGTAATAAAAATTTGGAATATCTTAATGTGTTCATTGACTTTTGTTGCTGATCGTACATTTTTTTTTTTCAAATCTAGATCGTGTTTATTTTAATAAATTAAGTTTATACTATTAAGTAATATTATCGTTGGCATACAAAATTGCCTAATAACTTTGAAATATGATAATTATTTATTTTTACATTATTTTTTAATCTTAAACTTTGTATTGAAATGGGAATGGGTGTATTTTAATTTTGTGAAATTGCAGAGCTCAGTTTATATGCGATATATATTTTTAATTATGAAACTCCAATCTGATCTGTCTAGTTTATTTAATTTTTTTTTTTTAAATTTAATATCTCTTAGGTCATGTCCATCTATATAGAGCGTCGAATGACAAGAAACGTCAATTGACTGTTAGGTATCCGGTTTTGGGACTTTTTTACTGAGTGTTTGTGTCTTAATATCTTTTTTAATTATAACATGGGCTGTAATTATCTCGCTGAAAATGTAGCTTTTTAAAATCGGAAAAGAAAAAAAAATTAAAATCGGTTAAAGATTTTTTAAATTTATCGATAGTAAACAAAAATATCTTTTTACTTATTCCTAATATTTTGTAATAATTTAGGTTATTATAAAATGACGGTAACAAGACGAAAATTATGTTTTATACAATTTATTTAGCGCGCACTTAAGGTGGTTTATTATTAAATAAAATTAGGCAAATACTAGATGGCTCTGGAATCGAGATTTGTTGTTTTTGTTAATTATTTTATAACCCACTTAATTGTAATGTTTCTTGATAGTATTTTTTTTTTTTTTACAAAGTCGCAAAAAGTATAAAAACAAAAGTTGTGATAAATTATTACAATATCGGTAAAAAATAAATAAAACCGCTCGCCAATTTAGAAATTTTGTCACAAATTATTTTTTATTATCAAATAATCAACAAAAACGACAAGTCTTGATTTTAGCGCCACCTAGTATTTCGAGTCCAATTTTGTTAATAAGCAACCATCTTAAAAAAATATATATTTAAATTTTGTAGAAGTATTTGAAATTTGGTGGAAGTACTTTATCTAGATGTTTTGATCTATTCTCTGTACATGATAATTTTTTTTCTAACGTAAAATAACTATTTTTTGGTATACATTAAGATTAGGTTTTAATATTAATTAAAATTCAAATTAACAAATAATATATACTAAACTGTTTAAATCATTGGATATTTTAATTTACTGATAGTGATGTCATATACCTTTGTTAACGAGAGTTAACAACTACAAAGATTTATCGGATGCCGTTTTATATTAATATTATGTAATTTTAACATGTTTTAGCAATAAATATTTATACATATTAACGGGATTATAAATTGTTATTTTTTTTTTTAACCCATGACCTCTGTTACAGTAAATCCGCAATTTATCGTGCGTTTTTTTTCTTATATTTAGTTGAAGAAAATATTCGAAAATACTAAGCAATACGCATATTAAAATTCGAAAAGGACAATATAGTGTGATAAATTTTTAGTGTGTATAGGTGGCTCCGTGGTGGTAGTTTCTGTTTTTTACTGGATGACAATGGAAAGGTAGCACCTCCAGCGCTAGCGGTATACGCTGATGCGATACCAGTGAGGAACAATTTGTGACGGTGAAATCAGGTCAGTTAGCCCATCGTGACGAATACAACAAGAATGAACTATGATGGTTTCCAGGGAAAACCGCGTAGAGGTCGACCTAGCATTGTAGTATTAGTAGTGGAGACTAAAGTTTCCGTTACTAACAAATACTTCAATTTAACATTTCTGCAAATGATATTACCTGACTCGGAATGGAAAATTCATTACCTAGATTAATTATAAATATAAATTTGTTATAAAGATAATTAAGCAAAAGGCACTTTAGAAGTTACAAGTAGATGCAACTTGTAGGTGGCTGTGCTATTTTATACGTGCGTATGCGTAATACAGCTGCTAGATAACAGATGGCGCTCTGCGTTTCTAAAGGAAATTTTAAAGTAGAAAGTAATTACATTTAATATGTATTACTTTTTTTTCAAATATTTCAATGAAATACAGTGGTATCTCGACATACAAATTTAATTCGTTCCGTAACCTTGCTCGTATATCAAAGCAATTTTCCCCATTGAAATTAACTGAAATGCCATTAATCTGTTCTAGCTCCCAAAAAACTATTTCAGTTATTTTGTCAAGTGTTTTCGAATAAGAAAAACATATTTACAAGAAGAAACATTTATTTTTAAGTCGCACACCTTGTTCATATTTTTACTGTCCTTAACAATCAAATTGTGTATTTGTAAGGTACAACTACGAGTACATGCTGGTGGTTCGGAACCGATCATTAACGCAGTCTATGTTGAAGGCTTATGTTCGGCAGTGGACGGTTAGGTAACGGATGATACGAAGATAGAAGTACAATTAATGTAATTGCGTAATAACATCTATTTACCTACCAATTTTCATATTAAGTCCCTTACGAAGTAGATAGAGACGACAAAAATCCAGAGTTTTCTACCTACTCTTACATCTCATTGCTTATCCATTTTGATGACTCGTCTCATTTGTAAAAACTATATTGCTATATTAATGGTAATAATCTGAAACTTTTAGTATCGCACCAGACCAGTCAACAATCGAGCAAACCGCGTAATACATAAATAGGCGGTGCATTATTGAATAGAGAAAAAATAAAGCAATACTTGCTATTTACATATATTATAAACATATAATTAAATTAATGTATAATATGTTAAATAAATATATAGGATATTACTATATCAAACAATCAAATGTATTAGAAGAAAAAATAATCATTATTTATATCTATCTACTAGCAAACGTTGTTTTACTATATACATTATTTCGAGAACTATGCATGTAATTTCTCGTACTACAATTATTATAATATATTCGATTGCCATCTTGCAACCCTATTGCGGCATATAAAAATCGCGATTAAAAAACAGGAGTTAATCGTAAAAGCGTGAAAATTTTAATTTGTGTGTATTTTTCAATGCTAAATCATAACAAAACAAAAAAAAATTGTCAAAAAAATAAAAAAAAAATTTCGGAGTTACCCTTATGATTGAGGGATATGAAAAATAGATGTTAGCCGATTCTCAGACCTACTCGATATGCATACAAAATTTCATAAAAATCGGTAAAGTCGTTTCGGAGGAGTTTGGTAACAAACAGCGCGACACGAGAATTTTATATATTAGATATACGTAATATCAGATATATTAGGTAGTAGTTTATTATCTACTCGACTTGCAACAAACAAACCGTCACAAATTAAAGTTCCATCTCGACCATCTGGATGAGTCGCAGTCCGGTACTTTTTCAAGGCAGTTTCGTGCACGCAGAACCACGCTTTAAAATTAACTTCCAGCAGCAGTGTTTCCAAACCGATACGACATCGTAAACTTCAAGGGCATATTCCTTTTTAAAAAGCAGACAACACACCTGTAATGCCTCTGGTGATACGGGTGCTCATGGGCGATGGTAGTCACTTACCGTCAGGAAAACATGGTCGTTTGCCCTCTGTGTTATAAACAAAATTCTACTTATCTTCCTTATAGGTGAAAAAATAAGTTTGAAGATATAGATACTAATAGTAAGGTTTAAACCTACATAAACCCTTCTATTAATACCTTTTTATGTAGTTAAGAATCTACCACATAAATATATATGCGAAGGAAAAAGATTTTTATTGGGGGTGACGTTAGTCCAGATCGTTATATGAATGCAATGACCTCTCGAAGTCATTGTGGTTAATTCTTATAAATTCTTCATAGAAGGCTAATTGGTCTGCTTTATCTTCACCTATCATCTCTCACTGGTACCCTGCTAATGTATACTAATACCGCAAGCGGAGTTACCTTTCCATTATAACCTCATAAAAAAGACTTTAGCTTCACCGAAAGAATGTTTAGTAATGGTGAATTCGTCCTTATTGCTAACAATATACTCTAGACCTGGGCCGTGTTATGTCAACCTCGACACGCCCCCCCCCCCTGGAAACTGTCATAGTTAATATCCAGTGAATTTACTACGACGGGTCGACTGATCTGATTTCTTCTTCATCTATAATCAGGCACTTACTCTGCCAGTGTAAACCAATATTGCTGTTGGAATTACTGTTCCATTAATACTTCATAGGTACTAATTTTAATGTTCTAACAACTTATTAATAGAGAAGGTAAAATTAAATTTATAAAATGAATCGTATCTAATAAAGCGAGATTCCCACTCGGCCCTAATGTGATGCCTGACGATATTAAAATGATTGCTCTTTGGCAAATATGGCGGCCGGTTGAATTATACAACGGAAGCAAATATTACCCTGGCAAACAATCGTCCCGGGAGAGCGAGCTAGTTCGCGCACTCAAAATTAAAAGCATACATTGAAAATACGGAACCGTCGACCGACCCCTACTCGGATGGCTATGTCGCGAAAAGTAAGTGCTTTGGTACTTCAACATCACTCTTAATGTTGTAGTGTTGGGACGCATTGTTGTCAATAAAAACAATAGTTGAAGTGTTTTTTGTCTATGGACACTTGGGTATTGCCACTCGAAAATAAATAGCACCGCGGTAACGAGCAATATGCGCTAACAAGCTGTAACAATGTTTT